ACCATCTACATTTCATATGGCATTTTGACACCATGCAGGCTATTGCTTTAAAATAAGGGTTTAATACTTGGCTGGTGAGACAGGTAGGTGTAACCATAATAATGGTCCCTCCTGCCACAGAACGGAAGTTGGACTATGCTTTGTGGGGAGCACATAAGCTTCCCATGTCTTCATATTGCTAGCACAATATCTGCTGATGGTTGATTACATTCTCTAACAGAAAAAATTGCCTACCCTATACTTAGCTGTCTGGGTGAATTGGGATCATCATCTCTTTTAGAATATCATTTAAGGGTTTTAAATCATCATTTGATGCCCCCAAAAAAGACATAACCCTTGAATATTTTTAACAACTTCTTAAAAATTATTAAAGATTATAAATTGTTTCGTCCGATTTTATTTTTAAGCCTAATTTCTTTAGAATATTCCATGTATCCCAAACAATTTTGAGATTAAAGTTTCTTGCAGTTTTTACTAATCTAATCTTTTTTAGACAGGTCGACCAATAGAATAGAGTTGAAAACTCTTTCTTCCATGTCTTAATGTTTTTATTACACAAGCCTATGGGAATGGATGAATAACACCAAGAACCTTTAGAAAAGATGTATCCGCTGGGCATTGGTGGAACATCCCTTTAATCCCAGTACTGGAGTGGCAGAGGCAGGCAGATCTCTGTGAGTTCAAGGTCAGCCTAGTCTACAGATCAAATTCCAGGACAGGCTGCAAAGTTACACAGAGAAAACCCGTCTGGTGGGGGGGTAGAAGAAAGAAAGAAAGAAAGAAAGGAGAAATGAAAGAAAGAAATAAAGAAAGAAAGGGAGGAAGGAAGGAAGAAAGAAAGAAAGGAAGAAGAAATAAAGGAAAGATGTATGGAAATGTACCATTGTATATACACATATTTATGTACACATATGAAAGGAATTTAAATGGAATCACCATATATCTCAACTAGACTATGCCCTCAACTAGACATCTAATGATACCTAGTAAAACCTCCAGTGCCAGGAATGAGTTATATATTGTTGAAACATGGGTCATAGGTGTTCCATAGTTTTCCCTTCCCTCACATATGCCAAATATCATAGGTTACTGCCAAGGTTACTGGCTATTTTCTACAACCTGATAGCAAGCCCTATTGCTGAAGGCACCACTTTCTTACATCATCAAACATGGAGAAATTGAGCTGTTGCCCAACTAGATGCTTCACCCCAACTGATTAGCATTCATGGTGCTAGAATGTGCTTTGCATGCTACTGGAGGAAAAAGACAATAATCAATATCAACCATGTACAAACTCTGTGACCTTCAATAGTGACATGCTGTAGGGGAAGCTGCCCTCTTAGGGGTGTGGCTGACCACACCTGTGAGGGTATGGTCAGGGTGATGTAGAGTGAGAGTTTCCAGTGGCTGGGTTTCACTTTCAGTTTCACTTTTTAGCTTGCTGTACAGGCTGCTGCCACGCCGGCTGGCTAGGTCGTTCTATAAGTAAGGCTTTTCCCTAGTAAATGACCTTATATTTCCTCTTGGCTCCATATTGGTAATTTTCCACTTTATCTGGTGTCAGGAGCAGGACCTTGGTCCCATTTGGGACAGCCTGACAGTCCCCACCCCTCCCCCATGGCAGACTAGGCCGGGAAAGTGCATCTATTTTAGTGGTTGAGACCGCAAGGCCTTATACTCTCTAAGAAAAGCACAGCTGCTTTAGTGACCCGTCTCCACGGCAACCACCATCTTGCCTGACCCACCGCTGCCTAACACCACGCCGAGTAGCTGAACGCCTTGCCACCTGCTGGTCAAAGACAGTTACTGCATCTGGAGTAGAAATCAGGTAAAATTAAGGCAGACTATCATTTGCTAAAGTTGGTAATAGTTTTGCTTAATATGAGAATTCAATGTTTGAGGAGGATGATAATTTGCCAGTTACTGTCCTATATGCTGTAATTGCAGTTATCTTGCTGGTACAAATAATATTACTAGCCAGAGGGCTCAGGAACAGGGACAGAGATAACCTCACCACCTGCTTGCAGGAAATAACAGCTTTACACAATGAGGTTTTGTAGAAAAGATTAGGTCAGACCACAATTGCGCAGCAAGTGGAACAGAAATTGGACAATAAGCTTGGCTCTGTGTCCAATATGCTAATGACAGAGCTGTCTGTTACCCAAGATGAGATGCAGCATATTTATGATAAGATAAACACAGAGAGATCTTCCATGTCTGAGGCCTTAGTCGCTAGATTGTCAGAAGACCGTGATGAGCTAAAGAATATCTGTAGCCAGCTAGAAACTCAGATACGCAATGTTACCCAGAAACTAGATGCAAAGATGCAAAATACCCAGGATAGGGTTGATGAATTGGACAAAGCCATTCAATCAATTATTGAAGCATCCAAGGTAGCAGATCACAAATTTGAGTCTAGATTCGAATGTTTGGAAGATAATTTATAGTACAGGGCTGACAGGATTCATAGGTCCATACAGTCGATTGCTGAGGACTCAAAATCAGCAAATCATAACCTCAAATCTAGACTCCAATACCTCAAAGGCAGTTTCCATACAATCCAGATGCTGCCTACGGACGACCGTATTAAAGACCTAGAAAAACGTGAGCAGGAGCAGTTAGAGCAATTTACAGATTCACTAACATGCTTGGAATCTTTTATGATTAAGGAGATTGAAACTTTTCATAAGGATATCATTGCTAGGCTAAAAGATCATTGGGATGCCTCAGAGGCAGAATCACTCCAATCTGAGCACATACTCGACCCAGGTATCGTGACTATTCCTCTCAGGTTGTTATTCGTACACCATTAGGGTACTCAGCAACCAGGGTAGAAAAGCCAGCTTCTAAGAAACACCCTCATGGGTGGATGGCTTATGAATGGCAGCCTATGCATCTGAAGGATCTTAAGACTATTAAAGAATCATTTGTCCCATATGGTCTCCATAGCCCATACGAAAATAGCTATTACATCCATGGGCAACCTTTAACAGGGTGGCACCCACAGATTGGGAGTGATTGGTAGCAGCTGTATTTGAGAATTCATGGCAAATCCAGAGGAAGGCATTGGTGAGGGAAGAGCCGAAGCTCCTTGAGCATCAGGGCATAAAGGAATGTTTTGAAGCCCCTCTAGATAAGATTCTTGATGCTAACCCACAGACTCAAGGTGAATATGATGACGATATACTGTCCCTATGCAGGAAAGCAGCATAAAATGCCTGGGATGAAGTTCGTGAGCCAGGAGAACACATAGAAGCTTATACCAGAATAGAACAGGGTCCTACAGAACAGTTGCAGGACTTCTAGTTCTTTGCCTATTTTGAAAAATGATACTGCTCTAGATGGTAGTTTGAATAGTGATGAAGAATCAAATGTGAATGGACAAAATGAGAAACGCATATTTTGGCAAACTTCTATTAATGGTAAAAGGCCCCAGTTGAAAGTGAGAATTAATAATAAAGTTATTACTGACTTAGCAGACACTGTGGCAGATGTAACTATTATTACCCAAAAGTCTTCGCCTCTTAAATGGCCTCTTAGAGAGGCAAATGTACAATTTTTAGGAATTGGGACTCTATCTAGAGTTCAACAGAGTGTTAAGTAGTGGTCTGCATTGGACCGGAAGGACAGAAAAGGATACTGAAACCATACGTGGCAAATTTGGCTATAAATCTCTGGGGTCATGATCTCTTACAGCAATGGAATACCCAGATTAATATTCCTCCAATGTCAGATACAAATTATGTACAATCTTTAGATAGTAGAAATGATCTGGTAAGATGCTTTGGAAAAAGTTTACCAACCATCCATGCTGTACAGAAACTAAATACAAATATTAGAACTTCAGAGGAGCCAAAGGCCCTGCCATTGAAGTGGCTTACAGATAGACATGTTTGGGTAGGACAATGGCCTATGACCTCTGAGAAGATAGAGGCTTTAGAAAAGTTAGTACAGGAACATCTAGATGCTGGACATATAGAGGAATTTACCAGCCCTTGGAATTCTCCTGTATTTGTTATCAAAAAGAAGTCAGGTAAGTGGAGAATGCTGACAGAGCTCAGAGCCATAAATAAGTGTACAAGAAGGCTACAGTCCTATCCATTCTTACAGATATGAAACATGCTGCTGTCATCAGCCTTCCAGTAAGCACTAACAACATTTGGAGATTTTACTTGGGAGCAGACGTGTCAATTTGACTTTCGTGACTACCACAGAGGCATGCGTCTGTGAAGGAAATGAATATAACATTTTTTTCTTGACAAAAAGATTTATTAACTTAAAATAGAACTTCACAAACAGAAAAACCTTTCCATTCAAGTTTGAATATATTCAACATGGAAGTATGTAAAAGATAATTTTTGAATTTTTATGTTGTAATTTTATTTTATTTTATTTTTTGACCTTTTAAAAAGTGTTGGGCAATACAAGGTTCTGTAAAAAACAGAAGTGACAAATGGAATATACATGAAATCCTCTCCCATTAAGAACAATATATATAAAGTCTGAAGGCACCAAAATATGAATATAGCTAATAGAAAAAAAAAGAATGTAATTTTTAAAATCTCTCTTTATACAATTCATTAAGGTTAAACAAGGGGCACATGGGGACGTGATGGATGGTCCCGTGGAATTGGAGGATTTAGTCCCCGAAAGCGTGGCTCTGACTTACCCACTGCACGATTGTTCACTAGGAAATTTGGAGCCACGGGATGAGGCCAGTGTCGATCATGAGAAGAGCTAGGGACTGCCATTGGTCTGGCAGAAGACTGTGGTAATATGATGCTGTGATCATCCAAGCAAATATTGCTGGGGATATTGCCAGGTGCAGAGTGGAGCATTGGGCCATGAGTGGACCGTGATGGGGCACGGATCTTGTGGGGGCGCATTTGCAATCGCCGCCTACCCATACCGTGCTTGGGAGAATACAGAGCTGGTGGTGACTGAGGAAATTTATACAAGGGCTTCTGAACCTGATGACCGGGCTGGCCTCCCTGCTGGGGTGGGCCAAGCTTAGACTGGGATCCTGGCTGGGATGGAGGCTGGGGAATAGCAGATGGTTGGGGGGAATTCGGTGGAAATGGTTGAGGCAGAGGAGAATAAGATGGTGAATCAGAACATTCTGAAGACTGTCTAGTGCTTATAGACTTCTCACGCTGCTGCTGGGCTGAACCCGCCACCTGCTGAGCGTTGACAAGCTTTTGGACTAGCTGGGATGCTGCCACACTGCTATTCCTCTGTAGGGCCATCTTGACCTCTGGGCATTCCCGAGGCACATGTCCTGCATCTCCACTTATGAAACACCTAAGGTCTCTGGAGTCAAGGTCTCGGGGGTCTTTTTCTTCTTTCTTTCCTTCCTTCTCTTCTTCATTGTCTTTCCTCCTTAGTCTGTTCCTTTTGGGACAATCATTCTTGTAGTGACCTATTTTTCCACATACAGGGCAGCAACGATCATTAGGAGGCAGTTCTCCATCTGTTAATACTCTCGAATCAAAGAAGTACTCAGCTTCTCTGCCAATGAGTGGATAAAAGGGGGTACCAAAAAGTTTCCTTCCATTAATGAATGCCTTCATAATAAAATTGGCCATTTTTCTAGAAACACCAGCACCAAGGTTATGATTCAAGACAAAAGGATCTTCAATTGCAATGTATTTAGATGTCCACTGCTTTTCAAAAGTAGTCAACAGCCTTTTCTGACGAATACTGATTACATACTTCTTGAAATCAAACTCTTCAGTATAGAATCGAAGTAGTCCTAACCAAAGCTCTCCTAGTGATTCTGTGTTCTTTCCAAGTGAAGGTAAATGCTTTTTCAGGTCTTCTGTTTTATCAAAGAAAAAAACATTCCATCCATCAACCATTCTCTGTGGAATCTGTTTTCCATCAAAGATCTCTTGTAGGACTGGGATAACTGGTGGCTTTCTTTGCTGCAGAAAGTACAGCACCATGAGGATATACGCATATGAAGATAAACTTCCCCGAGATGCATCTCCAATGTCACAGCACTTGGCAAACACTTTCATTGTATAGCCCAAGTACTGTACTCTAGGATCAATAGCTGCATATGTAGCTAGCATTCTTGTGTTGTGTTGAGCCAATGTGTTATACACAGAGATATCACCTTCTAGTCCACTTGGCCCATGTTCAAATTTTACAATAGGTACCTTGGCAGTAGTAATAGGCAGAATGTTGCTTAAACCTGGATGCCTCTTAAGAATTTTTGCCAGATTTTCGATTATTTCCTTACAGTTTAATTTCTCTGCATTCTCATGGCCTTCCAAAGTCATACAAATATCCAGATCACTTTTACGGAATCCAAATC